ACTCCCCCCATTGTGTTAATTTTTTTTATAAAATGGGGGGGGGAAAGGTCATCTTCAGTTTTGGTATGAAAAATTCTGGTGTGGGAGCTGCTATTAATTTCAATCACTCCCCAAGCCGCAGTGCGATCGATTGCAAAATTGCCATTCCTTCCAGTGCGATTGCAAATAATTGTGCATGCAGTTTTATTCTAAACAAAATGTAATGTTTGTAACACTCCATTTGTGTATTTTTTTTAACCACCTCCCGTCCATGGTCGTTCCTGAAGTTTTGTAGGAGCGGGAGGGCGTCTTAAGACGTCCTGCCCCTCCCCCCTCTTGTGCACGGCGCTCAGCGGGCACACGAGTGGGGAACTGTTAGCAATGTAAAAAGCCAGCGATGGCTGTTTACATTCAAGCGATTGTGGGTCTCTAGAGACGCACATCACATGTGGGTCTCACATCACTTCCTGTATTCAGTGTCACTCTCACTGGTTACAGATGCCGGTGAGAAGCTGATGAAGCAGACCTCTGCTTCACCAGCTTCTCTAGGGGTCCCTAGGTAACATAAGGGGTCTTAGAAACCCCTTATGTCTCCATAAAGAGGACCTTAGTCCCCTATGTGATAGCAATAAAGTAAAGTGTGAAAAAAAAAAAAAGTAAAAAAAAAAATGCAAACATACAAAAAAAAAAAAGTCACACTGAGAAAGATACTAGGCATCCATGAATGGAAAATCCACAGAGGATAGCACACATCTTCTGTGACCCACTGCGTTTAAAAGCACAGGTGAAGTCACTCAGAACAGTGGATGTTTCTACAGCCAAAAGATACTGTAATACAGTGTTCTCAAACTCAATTAACTCTGGGGCCACTGGGCAAATTTTTTTCTCCCATGGGGGCCGCTTGGCAAATTTCATACTTTTAAATAAAATTTAAAGTGACATTAAACCCTCAGATTTTTTAACATAAAACAATAGTGTAATGTGTGCCTTACTGTAATCCATGGTTGTTTCCCTTCTCTTTGCTGCTCTTCCTTTTAAATCCTCATGTCTTCTCATGCTCTGCAGAACTTCCCTTTGCAGCTCAGGGCCTCTTCCTGTAGTGCTGGCTCAGGTTACAAGCCTATAGAAACTAATACACAGACACCGTATATCGATTCCTGAAAACAGAAGTTCTGCCCAGCATGAGAACAGATACAGATTTAAAAGGAAGAGCAGCAAAGAGAAGGGAAACAACCATGGATTACAGTAAGGCACACATTACACTATTGTTTTATGTTAAAAAATCTGAGGGTTTAATGTCACTTTAACTATATCCGGTATGGTACTATGTACACTAATACACACACACTAAGGCCCTATTCATATATTTAGGTTTAGGTGCGATTAGAGATTCCTGCGTCAGGAACTTGCGTTTTCCTGCAGCAGGAATCACTAATCTGGCGTTTACAAGCGGCAGCTGTCACACGTTAATGATCAGGTGACAGCCGCTGCATGTAAACGCTGACACACCGCATGTAGTGGTATGTGATTTGATTACATTCGGTTAGGAATCAATTACTATCCCTGGACGCATTGACTGTGCATCCAGAGAGAGTGTTTTCAACCCACATGTAATCATATCACATATCATTATATGCGGTGTTCAGGCGTTTACATGCAGCCGCTGTCACCTGATCATTAACTTGAACAGGTAACAGCTGCTGCTAGTAAATGCCAGATTAGGGATTCCTGCTGCAGGAAAACACAAGTTCCTGACACAAAAATCCCTAATCGCACCTAAAAACTTACAGTTGTGAATGGAGCCTAATAACACATAAAAAATAAATACCCACCCCCCCCATACACATGAAAAAATACTACACCTCTACATATAAAATAATACAGTCCCAGTCCCCCCCCCAACCCCGACACATATAAAACGTATGGTCTGCTGCAGACCTTTCTAATCAATCCGAGTGCGGACACAGAAGCAGCTATGCGGTCCGCATCCAACATAGATGCAGACTGTGTAGCTCCTCCCGCAAGCTGGGTGCGCGATCCGTGATCATGTACCAGACTTGTGAGCTGGCTGCGGGCCACATAGTACCGGCTCGCGGGCCGGTACTTTGAGACCACTGCTGTAATACAATGTAGTATCTGCATTTTTAAAGCGGGAGATTAGCTTCACCCTTTCGATGCCAGAGTAATATACATCACTTCCGCATTCTGACACCGCAGAGTGGAGCTCAGGACAAGCGGAGAGGGGGCGCACAGACCGGCACCTTGTACAAGCGATAAGAGCCGGCGGATCGCTTGTATGTAAACAGGCATCGTTACCCGTTTTTACATTTTGGCAGTTTCTCGCTCATGCGCGCCGCGCATGAGAGGGTGGGGCTAACAGGCCATGCTTTGATGGACACTTACATCCAAGAAGCTACTGGCTGGTCGTTTAATCACAACTGGCGGCCGGGAGGCGGTTAAAGAAGCTGTTCAAGCACAGATCATGCCATCAGGAATGACAGCAGAGAAGCCGTAAATTATGTCATTAGCATCACTTCCAGCTTCATTCAGCGGGGAGATGATCAGCGAATGGATAATTGCTGGTCTCTCGTCCACTACCCGCCAACACCCACGATGCCGGTCGCAGCTGGGGTGTCTGGCGGGCAGGGACCAAATCTGTTTTTCAGTATGTGTTGACTTCTGCCTCACTGTAAACAGGTTAAGCAAAATATTTTTTTAGAAATCTTATCAAGTTTCATACCTGGAGATCGTGCCAGGAACAGCAATCACAAAATATATTCGAAAAATAACTTTAAATGACACTATACTCAGGAGTTGAATCTTCAAAATGCATTCAAGTACCTTAACTATTAATAAAAATGTAGCTTATTTGTGTATCACTCTGTTGTAGAGCCTCAAATCATCTCTGAATTTGTGCCGACATTGTCCTTCCTTATGAGGGGTGCTGCCTACTTTTGTTCCCCACAGTCCGTGTGTTTTAAAGTAGCCTCCTCTCCAAGCTCGCTCCCCCGATTGACATTTAGGCTGGGTCTACACCCGAGCGGTTTTTCAGCTCATTTTTTCATTCAGTGAAACGCCTTTATTTTCTCTATTTTAAATATAGATTTTTTTAGTTTCACTTTTAAACTTCCCGCCGGCTTCGCACCCCCTGCGACGCGGCCGCTCGCAAGGGACGGTACCCGGAAGTCGGCAGCCGCCGAAGACACAGCGGGGATCGCGGACAAGGTAAGACCTGTACGCTGTATTCCAGAGTGTCACTTTAGGAATTCGCACACATGCATGCGGACCATATTTAAATTCTCTTCATCCTGTCCCTCTTTTTCTGATGATCCCTCTTTTATGCTGTAGCAACATAACAGATTGACCTGCTTGCTGCAAGTAACACTACACATATGAACTGAGCCCACTCTGAGCCCAGGCTGTGATGGACCCGCTGTTAAGAGCTACAGAGTGTGTTGCATTTCCGTATTCAGTTGATTTGATCTTTAACAGTAAGTTTCTAATATGTCACACTTACCGATGAATAATCTCTTTTCTGAGCCAATGCAGACACAGGAAACACCTGCAATGAAGCACACTAAAACTAATTAAAAATTGTAAAAATCAACAGTAGAAATAGTTTTATGATTCAATGTTCAATACATTCCTTTAACTCAGACTAGAGATTAAAAGTGCTATGCAAATTTGTTTTAACCACTTGATGAGCAAGGTGTTTACACCCCCTTCCTGTCCATGTCATTTTTCAGTATTCAGCGCTGCTGTATTTTGATTGACATTTATTGTGTCATGCAATACTGTACTGAAATTAATTTTATAACATTTTTTTGGGACAGATAAAGCTTTGTGTTGGTGGTATTTAATCACCACTGTGGTTTTTTATTTTTTACTATGTAACAAAAAAAGTAGTGAACATTTTTGGGGAAACGTTACGTTATGAAACATTTATTATTACCCGAATTTTTGGTAAAATATAAAAAATGGGGTCACGTCGGGTAGACACCAAACAGGTCAAGCTTTAAAATCGCACACGCCTGCGAAATCGTTAGAAACTACCATACCCAAAATTGGCCATAGGTGACACTTTAAAAGCTTTCATCGCTCATCAGTTTAGTGTTAACAGTGATCAAAAGCCCTGTAATTATTGCTCTCACTCCGATGTTTGCAGTGATATGCAACATGTGCGGCACAATCGTCATTTTCGTATGTAGGCGCACCCGGCGCATGTTTGCATGTGTATGTGGGGGCGTAAAAAATTTTTGTGTTTTTTTTTTATTTGTGACTAGTTTTTATTACTTTTTAGTTTTTTTCACTTAACTTTATTGCTAAGAAGCCCCCTATGTAATACCCTACTTACAGTGACAGGTCCTCTTTAAGACCCCCCTAATGTCACTTAGGGACCCCCGGAGAAGCTGATGAAGCAGAGATCTGCTTCACCAGATTCTCTCTGGCTTCTGTAGCCAGGAATGACAGCTGAATGCGGAAGCAATGTAATATACATCACTTTCTGCATTCAGAGACCGGCGGGGAGATCAGAGGGAGATGAGTACTGACTCACTCTGACCTCCGGCAGCAGAGCCACTGTGCCGGTCCTGGGCCCGCACTGTGCACAACAGAGCTCGGGATCAACGTCGGCTGCCACACACATAAAAAGCGATCGGACGGCTCTATAGCCGCCAGAATGCTTGTATGTAAACAGCCATCACTGGCTGTTTATGATTCAAGCAGATTTCCCACTCCTGTGCGCCGCCAAGAAGACATCGAATTGTTCAGCTAGACTGCTATAATTACAGTTGAGCGATTCCAATTTTCAATTTCTGAAGCATCATCTCTGAAATGAGACCTTTGAGGTCAAGAACAGGCCTGTGAAGGTCTGGTGAAGGTCTGCAATTCCGGGACTGGAATTACTGCACCTTTGTTGTGGAAATTTTATTAGGATGTGTTTTTAGTATATTGTAATATTGTCATTATGTCTCTCAGTGTCAGGTTTGCTGGGCTACACCCTATTGAAGCGTGACCTGGATTAATCAGCACTGGGGGTAAACCATTGGAGTAGATATCCTCCTGTGGATGTGGAGACGCGGCCGCTGTGCACGGGGGTCTCCGCCAGCGAATGGTCCATGTGCTATGCGCTGGGCTGTTGGCCGGGGGAGATTGATGTGCGTTGCGGAGCAGTGTCCTTTTAGCGAACGTATGCACGTCGGCGAGGGCCCCTGCGCAATGCGCGGATTTATTAGCTTGGCGTGGATGCATTTGTTTTGAGAATGCGGAATCATTTTAGATACATATCTGCCTTTATGAAAGGAACATGCGTTTGTATCTTTTTGGTGCATCTGATCAACGCGCTGGAAATAATATGGCGTTGTCCCTGCAGATAAGCTCGCATTCATGAGAACCGTAGTCTATTGGGCCTTGCTCACTGAGCAATGCTGGATATAGTTCGCTCCAGTGGTAACGGGAGATTATGTGTGCAGGTCTGGTTGAGGCAGCGCCCACCTGAGCATACACTCCCCTTTTCTATTGTCTATTCAGATGTTTGCATGTGTTTCATTGGCTGACTGTGTGACGTAATTGTGCATGGAGGAAGTAGTAGGCTGTCGGGGCCGCCCTTTCCTGTTGTTACCCATGTTGCTATATAAATAAGCGGAGCTAGTGGTCAAGAGAAGATTTGAACACAGAATTTCCAGCTTGAAGCAACATCTCTACCGGCTCTACTGACTCTACCTGGCACTACAGAAGCATTAACTTTCTTTGTACAAAAGAGCTGAATACAACGTGCAAAAAATCATACCGCCAGTGAAACGCATTTCACTGAACGGAAAAAAATGCTACAAAACGCGAAAAAAACAAGCTGAAAAAATACGCCCAGGTGTGAACCCAGCCTTAAGCGTGATGGAATTGTTTGTGCTTGGCGCACTTTGATGCTAAAAGTACACCTTTTAGTACGGCGTGGATTTGTGCACTCAGCCCAAGCAAATTTCCATAACACCTCATAGAATCAAAGAGTGTACATATTGCTGGAGAACTTGAGACTACTGTGGGTTCCCTAGAACCCTAGTTGGAAAGTATGAAAAACATGGAGGCTGTCTATTGAATGTCCAAAAATGGCAGGCAGACCGAGAAGGTGAAAGAACTCACTGATCTGCGTCATGATCCGCCCATATCTGCTGAAAGCCTGCCATACTTGCCCCCACTTTGCAGGGCTGCCCATCAAAAGGACTTCCCTGCATCCTTGGAGGTGCTCATTTAGCGGTCTTCAAAAAGATTGCTTGAAACACTTTTCCAATTCCTTTTAAAACTCTTTGCCAGGGCAGTAAGATCTCGCATATCAATTTCTTTGATGGAAAGAGTATTAAGCAAAAAAAAAAAAAACAACAAGAAAACAACTTCCTAGGCCTATACTGAAGCATCAAGCTTTTTTCTTAACAATGCCTTCCCATTAAAAGAAATCCAGCACCATGTTTGCTTAGGGGAAGGATCTGCACACCACGGCTTCAACCATAATGCTCTCTTGACCGTAATCACATATAGCATTGACTGGGAGAAACACTGAGGTGTTGTGGGAGTTGGAGTTTCAACACAGGAAGAAACAGAGGATGTTATGCTTCACTGAACTACCCGACCCAGGAGGCTTTGTGATCTGGGAGGAAAAGGGGACTGGAGCCTCTCTCAGAACACGGGCAGATCGTCAAGGGATTTGTCAGTGACTGGATGTAGTGTGTTGTCTGCTAGTCATCTCAGGAGAGAGAGACAACCTGAGGCGTTTGCAGATGACCACTGTCTGCTGAACAGTGTTTGTGATTCCAGTGTCTGAGACCGGCTGAAAGATTATTTTACAGTGTGGAAAGCGCTCCATGAGGGAATCCAGTGATTGCTGTATCAGATAAAGACCCTGCCAGCCTTTTCCTGAGTGATTGGATTCTACAGGGACCAGCTACAAACATCGCTACTACTACTACTGTGTGGCACAGGCTGCTGCTGCTGGAATCTGAAAGCTGTTGGCTGCAAAGGAGCAACCACCTCTTTTCACCTACCAATTATGGGAACTACAATCTAAGCTACAGGAGTGGTGAGAGACCATTGGCCACAGTGATATTGTGTTTAACCATCTGTACAAGCAGGACTTGGGCCCCACCGACGGCTAGCCTAGTTAAATACCACTGGCCAGTAGGTTTAAGACCCGGGTCTGTTTGAACTGAGACTTCGCCTTCACAGTTTGCTGATAGAATTCTATTAGTAAGTTCAGTGTTGTTTGCATATGCAGATAGGCAGCCAGCCATAGCCAAGACTTATCTGCCAGGGGTGTGGAAATTTTTAAAAAAACTACTTGTCCAAGGGCTCTTGCGGGGGCCGAATCTACTTGTCCCTCATGATAATCCACTTGTCCCAATGCAAAAAAATAGTTTGCACCGATATAGGTTTTTGGGTATCGAGCATGAGCAATGATTCTGTTTGCCCGGGAAGCCTGCTCCATGCCATCAGGAAGCTGGGCAGCAGGTAATTACATGCTACCCAGCTTCCCGATTGCCAGGGAAGCCGACTCCATGTTGTCTGGCCGGCTGATTGGCCAGGAAACCTGCTTCCCAGCCAATCAGCATCGAGCCAGCCAATCGGGAAACCGGGCGGTGAATAATGGCCTGATTGGCCGGGAAGCTGGCTTCCCAGCCAATTAGGAAACCGGTGGGTCATTAGTCGCTGCCCTGATTGCACGGGAAGCTGGCTCCATGTTCCCCGACGGCACTGCCGGTCAGAGGAAATCTTCCGCTGACCAGAAGTTCCAGTATTGGGGAAGGTATCGGAGCATTTGGGCGAGTACAAGTACTTGCCCAAATATTCTGTATTGGTGCATCCCTAATCAAAACTGTATTTGACTGTGCTAAATAGTGCTTATCATTGGTCAGCGTGGTCGCCTGACCACGCTGGCCAATGAGTGCTTGCAAAATTCAAAACGCATAGGACAGGACTGTACAGGCGGAGGGTAAGGACTCGCTCACTTCTCGATCCTGTCCCTGCAGAGATGTGACTGTCACTCACGGCTCCCTGCAGGGATTCCCCCCCTCCCCGATCCTCCAGCACTGACTGGACGAACGAACGGGGTAAGGGGCGGGTACAGCTGGCTCTGCCTCTAGCTAGGCAGAGCCAGCTGTCAATCATGCAGCTGGGTGGATCTCGACAGTAATGTCAGGATCCGTGTTGGCTGCGGCAGTCTCAGTATATAGTGAGCTATAGCTCGCGGTATACTGAGCTTTGGGTCACAGGAGGATGCTAGTTTATGTCCTCCCGTTACCCTTAGGGGAACAATGGGGAAAAACACTGACCCCATAGTTCACCTTTAATGCACATTGTGCGTGAAGGAGAGTTCTGCTGCTTGGCTACCACAATATGGCACACAGTGGAATAGCGGCAGCACTCAACACACATGCACGCATGTGCATGCATCCTATGCATGCATTTATTTGCATGCAGATGACGGTGGCAGCGGGGTTGGTTTTAACTTTTTTTTTACTTTATCACTTATTTTTTTAATTTTCATATATTTTATTATTTTTTATAACTTAATTTTTTTTAAAAAAAAAAAAAAACTACTCGCCCGGCGCCTGAAACTGCATGTCCCGCGCATCGGGCGATAGGAATTTCACACTCCTGCCTGCATATTTAAAGTGCTCCTACCACTTGCTGTTTATTTGCTATTGTACTTGTTCATTTGTTTATATTATAGTACTATCACATATTATCTGTTTAGTAAAACTTTTACAAAGCTTCACAAGGTGTGCTGGTGTGCTGTGGATTCATTGTTTGAGGTCTAACACAGAGGTGAAACAGAAGTGCACGATCGCTTCCGAGGTTCACTGCGCTGGGAATGGGTGCTAAATAATTTATAGGACCAGCAGCAACTTTGTGTGAAGAAGATATCTAATATAGTGAATAAGTTGCGCTTGATCTAAGTGAATACCAGAGTAAAGAATAAATCATAAACGACACATAAACATCTATATAAATGCCGTAATCTTCTATCTCATATCTCTGTGTAATCGATATGTCAGTGTGTAAATGTCCAAGAAATTATTGAGGCATGTGATATGTGGAACGTGTATTCATCCACCCCACAATATATCAATAAATATATATGTGACAGACGCGTCGTGCTCACTTAATGTAGCTCGGAGTAATCTGTGACAAACAAACAAAAAAATAATAAAGCAACCTAGTTGAAATCCTTATATAAATAACCCGTGGGTCTAGTACTCTTGCATGTATAAACTTAATCTGGTGAACAACGATAGTGGTTTCAATACCTAAATCGTAAAAATATAATAATAATGATAATAATAATAATATGCACACACTTATTAGTGTCTCGGTGACCCAAAATGAATGTGTACAAGGGGTTAAATATTTTTTACAAAATTATATATATATTTTTTTTTTTTTTTTCTTTTTCCTTTTAAAAAGAATCCCAACAATATAACAAACAGGCACACAAATAAACGGAATAATCTCAGCAATGTAACAAGCAGTCAATTTTTCAGATTTTTGCAGTTTATATGAGA